ACAAGCTATACATGGATAATATAACTCTTAACATATCCTTGGGCTAGAAAAACATTTTAAAACCCTACATTTTAAGACTAGTGGATAAATCTGCTCAACCGGTTTGTCATTCTTCCGTAACACGCGGTAACACCAAGTCAAACACAAGGAAATAATAGATACACGCTGGAGAAATAGTTAGGGAGAGTAAATGATAAATACCATGGCGCGCATATGTGACAGGATTAATAGTATTATGTTGCATTTTCTTTTTGAATACATGGCATGCATACATGTTAGGATTAATTGATTGAGCGGTTTATTATAGCCAATGACAGAAAAAATACAATTCATGGGCACTATTGTCACATTAATCGCCTATATCATTTTTTTACCTTGCAATCACCTAAGAAAAGATTTATTTTCTCTGATCAATATTTTTAGGCCAGAGAGTGTTTAGATCACTAAAGTAGTGATCTAAACGCACTTATATTTCTTTACGGAGGGAGTACCAAATAACCATGCAACAAGATTTTCAGTTCAAAAGATAAAAAGGAAATTAGACGTGCCAAACTCATTCATCATGCTACAAATGTAACCACGTCACAAGATAGGTTTGTTACCCAAACATGAATGTTCTTCAATTGTTGTCATGTTAAAGTATTTGTAACATCATTTCTTCACAAACAATCAATTGGTAAGAATATATGGGAATACAATTTTCATATATCAATTGGTATTTCACAAATTTATTGCTTACTTCTATTCTAAATATTGAAACATAAAAGACACTAATACCTATTTAAGAGTCATGGGTGACCGAGATAATATGTCACCATGTTTTATGTAGACCCTTGGATAAAAAGGTATAGTTCAAAATTGTTTGAGAACGTCTTACAATTTCTCATCGACAAAAGAATTTTTGCAGATACCTTCGTAACACAATAGTAAGCCTTCCCCGACTCCCAGATACGACGCCCAAAAATGTATTCACGGTCACTGCAGAAGAAAGGGAACTGGAAAACAAATATGTTGGAATTATGAAATTAAACAATGAAAGTAAAGGAATTACAACTAATCAAACCTTTTTAATCCAGTGAATAATTGTGGTTCCATTCAGAGGGAACTCATCCAAAATTTTGAAGCACACAAGCATGGGGTCCCACTTTAGACGAAAATCATCATCCCAGAAGAAATCTCTAACCAGTTCAGGAGTAGCATCCTCGAAAATGGTCTGGCTACAATGCATTATAGGTCCCACCTAAAAAAACATGAACAAATTAGAGCGCTGCACATGAAAAATTAAATGATAAGATGTCAGATGCTTGGGAATTAGGAGCGTTGGGAGTTGATCGTAGGTTGTAGCTGTGCTCTACGGGAGGACGAGGCTTGAAGCCTCGTCGCCCCGTGGCAGGGAAGAGGAGAGGCGCACAAGGCGCAAGGTAACCAAGTTGTGTTTTTTCTTGCTTGATTCGTTCCTCCACAGGGAGGCAATATAAATAGTCAAGTTACATGACGACTCCTAGTAGAAATAGAAACAGACTCCTACTTGTTTTAGGAACAGTAGGGAAAACCTTCTTTGGGACAAAAAACCCTTCCGTTTCCAAACCTGATACTAATTGATACTAATTTGGACACCCCCTGTCTGCTGGCCTCCTCTCTCTGGTTGTACATCTCCTATACGTACGCCCCCACATGACATCTCCCCCTCCATTCTGAAACAGCTCGTCCTCGAGCTGGAAGCTTGGATAGCGTTCTTTGAAGGCTGGAACATCCTCCCATGAAGCATCAGACGCCGGTTGGCCCTCCCAATGGATGAGAACCTGTTGCATACCCCTGAACAGTCGTGCACGCAGCGCCTTGGAAGGTGTTGGCTGAACACGGCCTTGGAAGATGGCTGGCAGCACCGGTGGAGCATCTGGAGGAGGGCCTTGGTATTTCTTCAGAACACCCACATGGAAAACATCATGGATGCGGGCGCGGGGTGGAAGCTCCAAACGGTAGGCAATGGAATCAATTTTGGCGAGGACTTTGTAGGGACCAAAGTACTTAGGTGCGAGCTTTCCCTTGGCAGCAGATCCAAGGAACGCTGCTGGACGGCGCTGCAAACGCAACCAAGCCCATTTGCCGACCTCAAATGAAAGTTCCCGATGCTTGCCATCATAGTAATGCTTGTAATGTTGCACAGCCTGAAGGAGACGGTCACGAACATCGATAAGGAACTGGCCGCGGTCTGCAATGTTGCGCTCGACAGCCTGATTACGCAGCTCACCCGGAGAGTATGCACGGAGGGAAGGCGGATCACGACCATACACCACACGAAACGGCGTATCCTTGAGAGCGGTGTGGTAAGATGTGTTGTAGCAGTACTCCGCCCATGGCAGCCACTGAAGCCACTGTCGGGGCCGATCACCAGTGAGGCAGCGTAAGTACATAGCAATTACCCGATTAACGGCCTCCGATTGGCCATCAGATTGCGGGTGAAAAGCTGAGCTCATGTTTAGGCGAGAACCAGAAGCAGCAAAGAGAGCCTTCCAAAAGCCAGAGGTGAAAACAACATCTCGATCAGAAACGATGGAGGCTGGTACGCCATGCAGACGAACAATGTCAGCAAAGAAGGCTTTGGCCACCGTCTCAGCTGTGTACGGATCTGCTAACGGAATGAAATGTGCATATTTGGAAAAACGATCCACAACGGTAAGAATGACACTTGCCGCCCACTTTTGGCAATCCCTCAATGAAGTCCATGGCAATGTCCTCCCAAATCCGAGATGGTACTGTCAAGGGCTGAAGCAAGCCTGCTGGATGGAGCTGCTCAGTCTTGTTACGCTGACAAACTAGGCGGTTGCGGATGTAGTCCTGAATAGCTGTCCGGGCCTGTGGTAGATGGAAGTCACGACGAAGACGGTGTAGCGATTTCTGAATACCCTCATGGCCGGTATCATGGGATGCTGCGAGTATATCTGCCACAAGTGGTGAGGAAGGTGGAACATAGGCACAACGCTCAAAAGTGACAATGCCATCGATGAGTGCCCATGGGAGTCCCAGCTCGTCATTCTCTAGTTGTTCGCGGAATGCCATAAGAGCTGGGTCAGTGTGTGCAGCCCGACGAAGTTCCTCAAATAGATCAAAGGAAGGACCGCTTATGGCGCACACACGGGCATCAGAAGTGTCGCGCCGCGACAGTGCGTCAGCCACAATATTCTGCCGGCCAGGCTTGTACTCCAATGTAAAATCAAAGCCCAGGAGCTTGCCAACCCAATGATGTTGTGGGATAGTCGCGAGGCGCTGGTCCAGAAGGAACTTGAGGCTGTAGTGATCGGTTTTGACAACGAAGGCACGACCCCAGAGATATGGCCGCCAATGGCGCACAGCTTGTACGAGACCAATGAGCTCGCGCTCGTATGCAGCAAGGGAGACATGACGAAGATGTAACGCCCCGGATATAACTTTCCCAATTTGTACTCCAACTCTTGCCGTTTCCGGCGTTAAGTTATATTTATTTTCTTGGGTTCGGGTTTTGTCTCCGTGTGTTGTTGTCATTGTCATGCATCTCATATCATGGCATCATGTGCATTGCATTTGCATACGTGTTCGTCTCATGCGTTCGAGCATTTTCCTCGTTGTCCGCTTTGCATTCCGGCGCTTCGTTCTCCTCCGGTGGTCATTTCTAGCTTTCTTTCGTGTGTGGGGATTAAACATTTCCGGATTGGACCGAGACTTGCCAAGCGGCCTTGGTTTACTACCGGTAGACCGCCTGTCAAGTTTCGTACCATTTGGACTTCGTTTGATACTCCAACGGTTAACCGAGGGACTGAAAAGGCCTCGTGTGTGTTGCAGCCCAACACCCCTCCAATTTGGCCCAAAACCCACCAAACTCTGCTCCATCACCTAGAGCGTTCGATCACGATCGCTTGGCCGAAAACCGCACCTCATTTGGACTCTCCTAGCTCCACTTATGCCTATAAATAGCCCCCTCCATTTTCGGATCTCCCCTCTCCCCGAAACCCTAAAATTCATCCCTCCGCCGCCGGACATGTCCGCCTCCTAGCGGACGAAATCGCCGCCGCCGCCCCGCGCCAATTGCGCGCCGACACGTGGCACCGGCCGCTCCCTCCGCCGCCAGCCCGCCGAAGCCCGCGGGGAGCCCTCGGGCCC